AATACATACATACTTACTTTCGTTTCGCATAATTGAATATTTTAGTTATACAAACGTTTATGAAAAATTTTTTTGTAATACTAATACACTATCGTTATTATATTTTTCAAACCTACAAGCCAATATTTATCTTTTTACGAGTTTTTCTTTTTACGAATTCTTAGGTTTGTTTACACTCCAAATCCCAATTCTAGTCAATCGCTAGTCTTTCCTTTCGGTTTCTTAAGAGTGCATCGTTTCCAAATCGACCTATAAAATAAGTATTACGAGATTTTATCTTTAATCATGCATATAATTGTAACAATTAGCTCTTTTAAATTTTTTTTAAGAAATATCCGATCATTTTCTAAAGTTTCTTTCTAATATCATCCAAAAAATTCGCGTTTTTCTTTAATAATTTTCTTTATACGTTTTAGTTTATTTTCCGCTTTATTCGTATATTTCAATACGCCTCCAGCCCATCATTCAAAAGCTTCTAATATTATATTTTTTATGTCATATTATTTTCATAATCCATATTTTCACATTCGTGTGCTTGTAATGTATAATTATTAAAATCGGATTGATAATCTATACGCAAATATTTGATACATATTTGTTATTTCTAACAATAATTGGCAATATTATTATTAATTTATTATTTATACAATTATATTCAAAACTAAGTGGGAAACAGATGCACATTTTCGGGAACATCAATAATAATATTAATCATTTTACTGTGTACAATATTCGCTATTTTGATTTCTATAATATAGGTAATTTGAAATTTAGACAATTTAGTATTTGATGACAATTTTAATGATAATAATTAAATAGTTGACAGTGGCTGTAATACGGAACAATACCATCCGAAATGCTATCGTCGTCATTCATCATTATTCATATTACGTTTAATTTACTATGGTGACTGATGGGTAAGTATTATAAACAGTATACAAAGAGAATTTTATAAAATGAGTGTAACGAAGAAGCTTTTAGTTTTACAAGTATGTATTTACCATTGTTTATTAACCGTAAAATGATCCAAGTTATTATTCGAGTTAATAATAGAATAAAATTTGGACCGGAGGAATAGACAGTACAGTGTTATATGTATGTATTGACGTGTTTAGATAAATATTCTTTTTTCGACAATGATGGTTTGAAAATTGAAAATCGAAGTAAACATTATGCAATGTTTACTTGTGTACGGAATCAACAATGTAAAATGTTAAACAAACTGTAAATGAAATCATTAAACGATTCTTCATATTATTCTTTTATATGAAAAACCAAAACTAAATTTAAATAAGATTTACTCGAAATCTTCATATACAGTGGCTAATGAAAGAATCACCCTGTATCAACGCATAGGATAGGTAATATATTATAAAATTCATGACGTAAATATTATCAAGACACTTGACCCTATAAACGAGTATATACCTATACGGACCAATATTACCACATACGCCGCGCATTTGGGATTTCAAAATAACAGAAACGGCTCGTAACACTATCCAGTGTCCGTTCATGGAGCAGGTAACCGTTGTATTATTCATTAGCTGACTATAATAATAATACTGTATACCGCGAGGAGGTCGTCTTTATATATATTTTATTTTATTCAGACGGTGTGTAAAACATAACGCACGTACATAATGTATTATTATCCGGTTTCGACACTCATATCAAAAAAGTGTATAATATCCCTGAAAAATCAATTAAAAAATATTTTAAAAAAACACAAAAATTATTAAAAATAATTTTTTGTATAAAAAAGTTATTAAAATAAGCAAAATAAACACATTCAAATTTCATATTTAAACTCTTGATTCTTTTTGAAACTACAATCACGGATTTGTATTGCCCTCCATGCCTAGTGACACCGATACGAGAAGTAGATAAGATAAAACAAACAAGGAAATAATAGTAAGGTAATAGAATACTTAATAAACTACTTAAAAACCCTAGAAATATAAAATATTGGTTTTTCCAATGGCTCATAAAGTAGAAAATATGCAAGAAAAAAAATCAAAAAAACTAGTAAAAGGGATATTTAAAAAAAAACCTATTAAAATATTAAACACTTTCAAAATTCATATTTGGACTCATTGTACACTGCCATGGTACCTGCTGGATTTAATGGCACGCCCGGAAAATTACAAAATGCTAAAAGAACCTTGTTTTTATTGTTCTGTTTATGTGTTTTGTTTAAAAATATTTATTTTTTTTTTTTCAAATAAAAGAAATTATGAACGTTTATGTTTCGAATAAAGAAGATGCGGTGCGAGAAGCAATTAGATATAATAATGTCGAATGATGAATGATATGTTTTTGAATAGATCTTATAATACGTGAATTTAAAAAAAAAGTGCAACACAATTTTCATATATTTTTACTGTTATTTCCTCTTTGTTTTGACGGATAATTTGGAATTCTTGGTAATTTTTATAGATGACTCGTCTACAACCCTAAGTAAAAACTAACTATTTACGAAAAACTTAAATAGGTAGTAAATATATATTATATTTCAACACGCCTAGTTAGTTGTTTTGTCACGATGATTTAGAAAGTCTAATGGCCATTCTAGAAAATAGATATTTGATATATACTTTTTTTTTCAAAAAGTTATTCGTATGAAAAATTATGTATACACGAGGATAAACTTTATGAATATTATATTTTATTGCATCGTTATTTTAAAAAAGCTGTTAATAATAACTTAAAAATAATTTTTTTGATTTTTTATGCTCGCTATTCAAAATGTCATCATCATCGTTATTGTAATTTTGTGGCAATTATAGACAATTAAGACTAAATTTTAAAGCTTTCGCTGCTAGAACTATTTTAAGTCATATTTCTATATTCTTGCAATCCTCAGGATCCTCGATTCTCGAGCACATAGTTTTGTCATTGCCTGTCAACAGCCACATCCGAATATTTTTACATAGAACGGCATCTAGTAGGTATTTTTATCTTAAACATTTATGTCCAAAGTTTTCAACGAGATGTTAATATTTATTTGACAGCTGTTGCACGCACGTATCTAAAAAATCCTAAAAAGTACTCAATTATAATAATTATTATAAAATCGTAGTAATTTGTCTCACAGATTCTGAGTTTGATATAAAACGTGTCGTTACCAGTAATTATGCGTAGTTGTATTATATGTTTATTATTGTTCGTATACAATAGTTTACAGAAACTTCCGCGAAAACATGAATACTTCAAAACGTGATAGATTTAATTAATTTAATTGTATGATACTCTCATCGAGTAAACCCAAAAGTTCATCGGTGTTATTCTTATATTCGTAGAAGAATTAAAACTCAATTTATTGGAATTTTAATGAATTTTTTATAGTTAAAATAGACTATTTTTTATTTTTATTATAATGTAAAAATTGCAGTAAGTTTATAATGATTAGAAATGTTGAACAAAATTTTAGATTGATTTACATAATATCATTTGCTTGTACTTTCAAAAGATTTTATTCGTTATGTTATATTTTTAGCAAATTAATCCGATTTTGTAATATTTCTCAAAATACACTTTTATATTCAGGTCAGGTACTTAAAAGTGACAAAAAGAATACGTACAGGATTCCTCCGTAAAATTTAGTTGGTATTTCATTAAATTCTCATTTTGTGGTTTGTTCTGTAAATATCTGGTTCTTTCAATAAATATAAAATATTATATCCGTAAGCTGAGACAAGGAATTTAAAAATGTAAGACGTATTCATATCATTCGTTTTCAAGACTCATTTAATAAGAGAACGAAAATCGGTCTTTAATTGAAAATTATTTAATTATATTGTTTACTATTTACAATTGCATGTATATTTAATATTATTATATCACAACTTTGACTTACGAATATTTACATAATTTTGATATCTTTATTTAAAACAAAACAATTTTTCCTTCTACTTTGTATAGTTGTGAATCGATACGTTTTTAGAAGACAATTAAAATTTTGAGTAAAAAGAAAAAAAAATCACTCATGTAAACTAGGCATAAAAATTAAGAGTCTTATATCATTGTTATAACGACATAAGTTCTGTTTTTTTTTTTTAAATTTGTATGCAATCAAATAACAGGAATAACAGCTTAATTAGCTAAATTGTGAAAATCTATAAATTAAAATTTTGTTTAAAATCTAAGTAGGTACATAAAAATGTAATTTCCCAATTTTATACCAATATATACTTCTAGAAGATATCGTAGACACTATCCTAGGTAACGGAAAATACAAGATGAGAATCCATATAAAAACTTTTTCCAGTTTCTTGACGATTAGATGATTACTAAAGTTTTGTCACGGTACAGCATTCTATTATATGGATGTTCGTGTTCAAGAGTTGGCCATCATCAGTTATGTACTTTTGTAATTCAAAAACTTCGACATTTTTCGAAAAACGCTATTTTCGCGTAATACGATCCCTAATAACGAAATACCGCCGTTTTCTTTTATTACCTATTGTTCCATACTGTCAATAATAATTTTGGTCTACGATTTTTCTCTGGTGTTAAAAATACCTATATTATAAACAATATCGACTATTATCGCGAAGAACAAGCCGGTAATTTATATCAAATCGGATAAAAATCGGTTAGTTAAATCACTCACTATCATTCGAGTTAACTTATATTTATATTCATTATTATACATTTTTCCAGGTTGTATACCATTTGATGACCATTAGGTTTTTCATCGACCGAATGTTTTAATAAATAATTTCAATTAATTCCGCGGCCGCTGACTACTGTAGTAGACACACATTGTGTACGAGTATTATTTTTTTCAATTAACGCCGCGAAAACTCATAAATAACGCGATAATTACGACTCGGCATGCATACGTAATAATATTAGTTTATATTATTTATTCCCCGAACGTCACTTTAATAAAATAAGTACGTATACATTATACGTACGAAATCATAAAATATATACGGCGGATATATTATTATATAATTTATAATATTTGTGTTAAACGTCGAAATGTTTTTGTCTCGGTTAATTAATTACATTTGATAAAATATAAATTACTAGCGTCCCTTTTGTGGTGGTTTTGCCCGAACACGCTCAAACAAACGTTTTCTCTCCGTGCATTATAATAATATATGCGATATATAACATATAACATGTATGATACGAAGAGACGAAGACGAGACGGTGAGGGTAACTACGGAGTAAAAGCGCCTTAGGTAAGAATACCTAGATGAAGAAATCGCCAGGAAAATATTGATTGAATGGCAAAAGAGAATAGAATAGGTTATGGAGGAATATGGAAAGCCTGGGAGTTAGAAAGAGGAAAGAGGTTGCTCGAAATAGAGTAAGTGGTGAAAAATTAGTATAATTGTAGTATATTACAACATTATTTAATAACTATAATATTCGATTATTTATTGTTATGCGAAGAATATTTATATTATAAATTTATACGACATCGTTAGGCGAACCATTCGACTCTAATAACAGAGCTCTGCGATACAAATATTTTTTTTTAATTTAAAACAAAATCTAATAAACATTAAAATATCATTTACCCACTCGAATATTGCTGAAAATATATAATATATGCTTCTCTTGATTTATTTATACCTAATACAAACGTAAAATATATAATTCAATTGCTTTGAGTTAAATGTATATAAATCGGTAGCACGTCATTTTTTTGTAAATGACATTTTTTTTTTATGTGACACAGTTTATCTTAATGAATGAACGAATCTGAAATACAAAAGAAAAGGACTAAAAACAATACTTCATAGTTTTCTATTGGTTTGCTAGAGCTATATTGAAAAATATGATAAAAGTAATTGAATCGTTTGAAAATCTGAATGAAATTAAATACTGTTGAATCAATATAAACCATATAATTAGAAAAAAACAGTATTTTATTTTGATTTTGGATCCAACTTAAGATGCAATTAAGATTTTTCACAAAAAAAAAAAAAAAAATGTAATTATATATTAAAAAATGTAAATTGATATCCCAATAATTCTTATTAAATAATAAGAGAATATTATATATAAGCGTAATTTTAGAATATTGATGAAATTGAGAAGGTATTTTTTATTATTCGGGGTTTTTTTTTTTTTTTAAACTGACTATTAATTTATTAAAATGAAATCCTCGCAATATTTTTAATAATAATAAATGTTTTCCTTTAAATTCTATATGTTTTAAATGGTCCGGTATAAGTATAATATAAATATTACTTTATTAAGGTTCCTACCGACTACAAAGATATAAAATACGAAATAGCGTTTAGAATTACTGTCACTCAAAAAAGTCAAAAATTAAGTCTGTTTAGTTTAATTCATCATCTGTTTTTTTTTTTTTTTTTGTCAAATCGACACATATTTGGACGACATTATTATTAAAAAAGTCATCATATTAAAATGTTGTGCTTTAAACAACCTTTGCGGACAAATTATTTCTGAAAAAAATATATATTTATATTTTCACTATATGTAGATGTAAAAATAACATTGTATTTTTTAAAAAAATCACCTCGTAAACAATATTGACGCTTTTGTATTTAATTAAATAGGTACGAAAAAAAAAGTTAAGAAAGTAGGATACATAAAGTTATTAAATTTATCTTTGTAATCAAAACCATTGCTAACGAAAAACGAAGTAGCAGAGTTCAGTTAAATAGAGTGATTTCTTTATCATGAACCAACAATAATGTTGGAGGATTTAAAGTGAATTTGATTTATGTTTTTTTAATCATTGTGGAATTGTACACACTTTATTTTAAAAGTATTTTTAATTTTTCCCCTCTACACCATATACCTTTAATAAATTAATCTTTTTTTCAATCCGCTCATACTCTAAGAAAACAATGCTTGTATATCCAAACATTGTGACAAAAAAAAGTATTTTGATCAAAAGTATCAACCGAAAAAAAAAATTAAACGAGGGACCCGATTACAATATGAGTGACATATTATATAATATGTTTTTTTTTTCGTTTTTAGTCTTCAAGAGTAGCGTGGAAAATGTAATGGTATTCTTATGATGTGTGTTTTTCGTCAAATTTTCCCCGACTCTAAATATTTTTTGTCTGTTATACACATAACATATTCTTGGCTAACCGACAAAACCTCACCAGTCGATTTTACAAGATAAATAAAACTGTGGCAGACTAGAAAAATAAAAAAAAAATACCAAAAAACAAAATGGTCATAATTTCGAATTAAGAGGTTATAAATGAGATCCAATGATTTATGTATGTCCCTCGCTATTTTCGAACACTTCTAGTGGGTACTAAGAACATTTTCAATTGCATTTTTTTAACAAATCGTTTTTAATATTGTTAATATAATGTTTATTGTTGATTAAATTAATATTATTTCCAAATATAAACAAAAATTCTAAGCTAATTTAATATTGCATGTTGCATAATTATTACAGAAAGAGTATGCGTATTATATTGTTACAGGATTTTGTACCTTTTTCATACAACAAAAATGAGGCATGAAGAAATTCGAATTTATATTGTTTACCTGCAGACATTTTGTACTAGTCATCAACTTCAGGGTTTAAACGAGTTTCGCTTAAGATCGTTTTTCATTCATCTTACACATTCTACTTTTCCAATTTTTCTCAACTACAGACATTGATATCCATAGTGCGAAGTACGGTAGCATTTCGTTCTTTTTAGATTTTGTGTGAGGAATATATTGATTTTACAAAAATGTTTATTTTTTTACTTTTTCTGTAAACAACTTTTCTACGAAGAATTTTACTCAGAAACTAAAGTGTAGAAATTTTTCTATATAGAAATTTTATTTGGGTAATACACTTGGTCATTTTTGATTTTCTTAGGAGTTCTCATAATAACACTGGGAAAAACCGGGAAAAATTACGAAATATTTTATTGTATATTTTGTAAAATATTCTTATATTTATATAAAAACCTTTATCAAAATTTATCAAAACCTTATATTTACCTTATCTAAAAATAGACAAATTTAAAACAATCGAACCATTTTTGAGTTATTTATAAACATTTTATTTTGCAGGTTTTTGGCGTAATTTGTATTCAATAGATACTAGATAAATAAAATTATTCGACCATACAGAAATACTAACACTTTTACAAGAGATGCGTTTTAAGTCGCAGGAACTTTGTACTAAAAAAAAAATATATATATAGTAGTAATGTATTGAATTTTTTTATATAAGAATTTTAAAATAAAATTTTGATGAAATCGTAAAAATTACGATTTTTCAAAATACATATAACCTAACTTAGCTCGAACTCATTTTTTGTTAACAATGATTAATCATCGCTTTTAGATATATACATCAAATTCCTCTCTATATCCTACTCTCCTAACTTCTCATCTATAACAATTCCTGCCACCCATCGTGTGAAGTATCTTTTTTTTTTTAATTTTCCTTTCAGTTTAATCTTTAAAACGTGCATAATATTATATACGACGTGTATAATGGTGAGAAGAAAAACCATCGAGTGAAAAAAAATATCGCTTATAGTACGAGTGTCTGCTATTAACGACAAAGACGGTAAAAGAAAGCGAACACACGGGGCCACTATTTTCACAAAAACGCCTTTTATTACAAACTCATTAAAATATATACAAAACGAAAAAACATTTAATGCTCGCCACCAATGTGGCGTCACACATAATTCAAGCAGTATTTTTTTTCTTATAAACAACAATGTCGTTTTATTTTATTAAAATTGTTTAATAATGATGCCACTGCAACGAGTTATTGTCAGGGACGACGAATTTCCACAAAATGAAAAAGTTGTTTCCAGACAAAATTATTGATTAACGATTAACAGAACTGGGAAAATAATAACTAAAACCGAAAGTGAACGCTCAGAATATTTCCCTACCTTGAAGAGTATGGAAAGAAGGATGGAGTTCAAATATATTGTAAATATTTGATTTTGTTTTTTTCCTTATTAGGCTACATAATGATTTTTTAGCAATTTTGTAGGTTTTAGTAATTTGTTTTACGTTATTGAATATCTCGACACAATATAAGGTGTGTTAAAATTATAGATCTGTTAACTAATGTACGGCGCCTAAGAAAATCTATTACATGACAATAACTAAATGATAAAAAAATACCATTTGAGAAATTACCATTGGACTACACTCCACACTTGACTACACATCCCCACCCTAATTGTGAGATAGAAAAAACATAGTTTGGGAAATGTACTTTTTTACTCTTTATCACATTGATAGCCGATAAGCATTTAAAAATTATCATTATATATCACTGACTATAGTCAACGAGGAGAAACCACGATTTTATAATATTTTTTGTCATCGAAGTCGTTATTGTTAACACTGGTACCAGAAAATTTTCAGAAAATGCAATGTTGGAAAGTACCCGTATTTCACGAAAACCACTGGGTCCTGAATGTCCAACGGTGACGGAACAAAAAGTTTATTTAATAAATTAGTCCTCTACAATGGCACACCCAAATGTTAGTGATGGTTTGACGAAACGAAGGTTATATTATGAAGATCGAGTTGTATATATTTTATAAAGTCATCGATACTATCATATTACTCTGCTAGTTTAATCTTTGTGAGCTAGTGAACATTTTTTATTTAGTGTACTATAAATCTAAACGTATAGAATATGAACTATATTAGTGATAAGTAAGAGTACTATATGTGAATTAGTGTTTTATGCTAAACAAATATAGTTTGGGCACCACTGGTAGTCCTTATAACACCGCAGCCCGTTCAATTACATTTGTTTCGGTGATGAGGGTTTATACTTACACGTTCGACGATAAAACAAATAACTTCTCTACAAAATTCGCCGCCCAGTGTGGCTAACATATTATTATATATACCATAAATGGTATCCAAACGACAACGAGAAAATGTTCATTGTTCTTACACGAGTATATTACCTAGAAAACAGAGTTCGTACTCGTGTCTTTTACCAAATTTAAAGGTATACCGAAATATTTAATTTTATATATTATATATATATTTTCTTTTTATCTCGTTTTTGTTACCGTTAGGCTTATTCTCAACACTTTCGACATACGTGATGTGTCCGTACACATAAACCGTACCAAATGCCAAACACCACATGATCTACAGTGCTGTGTCTGAAAACAAAAATAATTGTTAAACCGTTTGTCGAAAGACTTTAATTCAAATTGTTTACTTTTTTTTTCCATCTTAAACGGCATAATTATTGTTCAAGTAAAAGAACCCGAGGACTATACTACATTTTCGGCTCGAATCGATTATCACGACGGCACAAACTGTCGCGTATTCTGGACACGTTTTATTATGCGAAGTGAAACCAACAG